GAGAGAGAGAGAGAGAGAGAGAGAGAGAGCAGATTGGACGAAACACTCATGCATGCCCATCAATCATCATATTTAGATCCTAGGTCTAAACTCGAGGCCCTGAACAATAAGCCCACGCTTCCAATTCAGCCCTTCGGTCTCCCTCAAGTTGACTTCTACGTTCCCATCATCCCCTTCCTCGGTGTAGAAGTCAGCTAACTCCATCTCCATCCAACCATCCTCTCTCAACCGCCTCTTCGCTTCCTCTCCTTCCACCGCTGGCTTCTCCTCTTCATCCTCTTCCTCAGACTCGTCGTCGTCGTCGTCCTCGTCATCTGGTTGTAAGCGGATGAAGCTTTCCGACGCATATGATCCCAACTTCACGGAGGCTTTTTGAGGAGGATCGCCGAGGCCGTGCGAGCCAGGGGCCAGCTTGAAGACAATACAAACAACGTAGCGTGTCCTCCGAGATAGTAACCGGCAGTTCATTGAGCCACGGATGTGCAACCAGCAAACGGAAAGAAGCTCTGCCACCTTAGCGAACCTGTAATGATAATGAAGCAGTCTTATCCCTATAAAGAATGAACGATGATCTCTCCAAATTAACACCAGTAAACATTTGTCTAATGCCAACCCACTCTTTTCATAGCTAACTAATGACGGTATTTGTCATTTGGAGATAATTATCCCTCATTAATGCTCCAACGTCAAAGAAAAGTCACCCTAAGAGGATGCATTATGTATATTGATAAGGTGCTCATACGTCCGCTAGATTTCTCTTACCCTCAAAAATATATTTTGGAGCTCATAAATGATGCCTTATCAACATACGTCGGTCAATTGATTCCTTCCTTATATAATACACAATTAACTATAATTTAAGTTTGCCAGCTAGCTTAGTTGGTAAGATCTAAACTCGGATCTGATCATACCTTCGTCATTTACTTCAAAGAAAAAAAGAGAGAAAAAAAAACACTTGAGTTTATCTGTTCCTCGTCGAGTTCATGGATGGACTTACCTGGACTCGGGATGAGGAACCCATCTCCAGTATCGAGACTCGTAACCCCATATGATGGTCATGCTTTCAGCAGATACCATGTAGCACTTCCCTCCCGTTGACTTCTCCAGCCGAAAGCTCTATGATGTTTCGGATAGAATTAGTTTTGAAGAAGATTTTTCTTTTCTTCTCTTCGGTTTTTTGGGGGGAATTAAGAGATGAGATGAGGATACGTGGTTGATGGACGTACTACTTTGCCGTCGTCGAGGAGGATGGAGTCACAGAGGCGGATGTAGAGCTGCTTCTTGGAGGAGTACTCCACGGGGTGGACGGCCCGAGACAGGATGTCGGCGTAGTCCGACGGCAGGAATCGCTCCCACAGGGCGTCGGAATTGGCGGCGGAGAGGAAAGCGGAGGAGACGAGCGCCGACCTGCAGGAGTCGCGAGGCGAGGTGTGGGAGAGCACGAGGACGACGCACTCCTCCGGGATCCTGGCGAGCTCGCCGCCCCCCTCCGTCTCCCTTCTCTTCTCCATTCCCATGCGTATTATTTGTGGTACGCGGCGGAGAAGTACTGTACTCGTGCCTGATCTATTCTCTTCTTCGACGGAGGCGGAATCGAAGACGAGCTGCTACCATATGCTTCTGCTTTATCTTCTCTCGTTAGTCTGCCATAGTCTGAACACAACTTCTCGTCTCCCTTTGGGGCCGCCGGACGCTGACTTTGAATAGTCGTTCGACGACATCACTTTGTGCTCTCGGAAGCATCCTCTCCGATTATTGCTTCGGCCAAAAGATTTTATATTATATTTTATTTTTGACATCCATGTGAATCTGATCTATGCCAATTGTGACGATTTGCATTTCCATTTATACACGGAGAGACAGGCACAGAAGCCGAGGAATTAACATTCATACGAATCTGTAAATTAGATACTTTCATTGCGAAATCTACGCCGCAAAGAAGATAGGTTTGCAACCTGAACCAGCTATAATAGGTTGAATGCGAAAGAAAGGGCAAGAAATGTTTTATAGTCATTATACCTCAACAGTAAATGTTCTCATGCCTCTTTCACACTCTTTTATGGCGGTCATAAGAATTGATTCTCACCTCAAGTATACCATTCAAACAGTAATGCAACCTTATTCATCAATAAATACATATAAGTCCATAAATCTTACATGACATGCGAAAGGCCAAACCATGTATGTGTACCAAACAGAACTGTGACAACAGAGCGAGGTGACTCGGAGTGCCTCCTCAGTATTTCTCCTCGTTGGCATCGGTTATAAGGCCTGGATTATGGGATAGGTCAGAGTGTTCTTCATCGGTTATATGAGATGGATGATCTTCATTAATTATATGAGGCGACGATCTTCATTAGTTACATGGGATGAATTGGGATGGTCTTCAGCTGTTATATGGGACAAGCTGGATCGATCTTCATCAGTTATATGAGATAGGTTGGGATGATCTTCATCGGTTATATGAGGCAGGTTAGGAGAGTCTTCATCAGTTATATGGGGCAGATTGAGATGATCCTCACTAGCTATACCAGATAGGTTAGGATGATCATCATTGGTTATATGAGGCAACTTGGTGTGATCTTTGTCAGTTGTAGGGGGTATGCTAGAGCGATCTTCATCAGTTAGTCGGGCGAGCTATGACGGTCCTCATCAGTTGTGTCGGACAGGTTATGACGTTCTTGATGATCTTCATCCGTATGAGGCAGATTGGGATGATCTTCTTCCTCATCAGTTGTGTCGGACAGGTTATGACGTTCTTGATGATCTTCATCCGTATGAGGCAGATTGGGATGATCTTCTTCCTCATCATCCGTATCAGTCATGTCGAACCGGTTATAATGATGTTGATAGTCTTCATACGTCCGATGCAGACTGGGATGATCTTCACGCAGATTTGAAGCCTTCGGCACGCATATGAGTGCCGTACTATCAGAAATCTTCAAGGAGAGCGTTCCCTCGAATCCTTTTGGCCAATCACTAGTAATATGGTGCAGATTTGAGGCCTCCGGCGTGGGCAAGAGTGCAACACCATCAGAAATCTGCAAGGAGAGCGTTCCCTCGTATCCTTTTGGCCAATCTGGTGAAGAGATGAGGTTTTCACATCCCACGAGTCTCAAACTCTTGAGGCACTTAAAATTCTTTATATCCTCTGGTAAACTCCTCAGCTGTGTGCACCCAACCATCTCCAACTCCTCCAGGTTGTCCCAACCCTCGAAGTTAGACGGCGTCAGCGTCCACAGCCGATCATTGTCCAACCAAATGTTCAATCTTTTAACTCGTGACAGGCGCACCTCTAGTTTCTCCAACTTTGGGCACTCGATCAGTGTCAACTCCGCGAGCTTAGGAAACAAGTCTTGTTTTCTCACCACCGTCTGCCACTTCTCTAGGTTAGGCATTTCAGAGAAAGTGAGCTTTTCCAACGTGGAAAATCTGCCATTGTCACCGTAGAATTTATCATCCACGGAGCTGATCTTCTGCATCCCGCTGATTTCGACGATCTTAAGACGAGCTAATTCCCCGAGAGCTGGTAGACTCCCGCATCTTCTGAGGTTGATTAGTTTGATCTCCACCAAGGTGCAGTGATATTCTTGTTTGATTCCCATCCAACTTGGAAATGCCTCGCCCGTGTAAGCAATGATCTCGAGTTTCCGCAAACTTATGTTGGGTCGGAGGGCTTCAATTACTTGCGACGACGATGAGCCAGCAGATGCTTCAGTACCGTCGTCCATTTTCTGGCATCCCCATTGTAACGCCAAACTCCGAAGGTTTGGTTTCTCCTCCAGCTTCGCGGCTTCAGCGTCCTCCGGCTTTGACACTCCTTCGAGGCTTCGTAGATGCAGCTCCTCCAGGCTTCGTAGATGTAGTAGCTCTTCCAGGTTTCGTAGATGTAGTAGCTCTTCCAGATTCACTAAAGCATGCATCTCCCGGATGGCTTTTCCAAGCTTGTCCACTGCAGTGTATCCAGATAACTTGTGGAGGTTACGCAGCTGCTTCATTTTACGGGGCATTCGAGTCAAGGAAGAACATCGGTGCAGATTCAGCTCCGTCAGTGATTTCATGTTGTTCAAACCTTGAGGTAACTCGATGAGCGAGTGACAGCCTTCAAGGTCTAACTCTTCTAAGTTGACGAGTCTTGTGATCGTATTGGGTAACTTCCGAAGCTTTGTGCAGTAGGCCAGATTCAATACCTGTAATTTTCCAAGGTCGTGGATCTGTTCCGGGAGTTGCTTAAGCTGTTGGCAGTGAGCTAACTTCAAGGTCAGCAAATTCCCAAGGTAGCAGATGGGATCAGGGAATTTTTTGAGCTTTGTCTGCGAAAGGTTGAGGTACCTGAGGTTGAGCAACTGGTGTTCCTCGGGTAGCTTCAGGATCTGGGTAGCTAGCGGATCCAGGACATGCACACCTGTGAGCTTGGTCGACTCGTGTTGTGGGATCTGTGCAGTTTGGCATTTCCGATCCATCAAGGCATTCTCCTCCTCCTCGATTAAAATCGAAGGTCTGAGAAAATAAGGCAAGGGCATCAGCAGTGCCCGTGTCTTCCAATCAACGGGTAAGCACAACTGGCCACAGTAGTGATCGAGTACTGAAAACTGGCTAGTCCTCGACATCGACGACTGTACTTCGCGCTGCAGATACTCGATTGCTGCCGCTTTGTCGGTTGAATGTGGTATGAAGCCTTCGGCAGTGAGCATCTGCAGTAAGTCCTGGAAATCAAAGGTGTAACCCGGTGGAAAGAAGGAGTAATACAGGTGTCTCCGTTCGTCCCGAGATAGAAGAAGATAGAGGGAGAAGAAACGCAGGCTGAAGAATCTCAGAACCGGTGGGGACTGCACATATCCGCTTGAAAGGTGTTTGGAGCCTTCGTCGTGAGACAGCATCTCCTCAGTAGGATCTCGTCCTGTGGGGTAGTCTAACAGATGAAAAGGATCGAAGTAGTCGATGGATTTGTCAGTACGAACAGCACCCGCCATTTCTTCCCACCGACTCCGCTCTGTGAGCCTGAAGAATACCGAGGCCAGAAGCTTAGCATGCAAGGGATTGCCGGTGCGTAGGATGGCACGTGGAAGTAGCTTTGCCGCCGAAGAAGCCTCCTCTTCCTCCTCAGGGTGGATCACCGCGTGTCTCACGAACACTTGTTCCCAATCTTTCTTCGATAGGCGCCGGACGTCGAATTCCATCATTTCTCGATTTAATGCCACATCTTCGGAAGACACGATTATGACCGTACTCCCCGCCCCGCCCTCACGCAAGAGGATGTTATGCAATTTATCCCACATGCCAGCGTCCGAATTCTTTATCCTGATGTCATTCAGGACGATAAGGTATTTGCTGCCTCGGAGACTTTCATTGACGAGTTTCCAGATGCCATGCAGGTGGTGCTCCAAATGGCTGCACGGTTTCTTCGTCATGGAATCGGCAAGGTGAGTCGCGATCCTCATGGGATCGAAAAAGAGAGAGCCGGGCGAGTCTACCCAGATTCGATGACTGAACTGCTCGCGCGCCCAGCGATGGTGGTAGATCATCCGAGCGACGGTCGTCTTCCCCATTCCTTTGCGACCCTTTATGTTGACGATCAGGGGCACAGAATCCGTGGACACTTGTTGTCGCTGCCGAATTTTCCCAATGATTTCTTCTATAACCTCGTCTCTGCCCACAATCTCAGCCTTCAAGATGGCGGAGAACTCTGCCTCGCATGGGTCCATGGAATCCATCATCTCCTTCCGAAGATTCAACCCACGCGCCCTGCTCACCAGGATATTCAACCTGGCTGCTGTATCCTTGAGCTTTCGCAGGATAGCATCGCGAGACGCCCCTTTGTCGTCGTCGTCTAGGGAGTAGCAGCGCTGCAAGCGATTGAACGTCCCCGTCGGTTGCCATGTTACGATCCGGCCAAGCAGGCCTTCGAAGTCCAAAACGGCCACACGCACATCCGTCACCCATTCTCCCACATCCTTCGCCCGTGCCTCTAAGACCAACTCCTCCATCGCCCGTAGCTGGGCGTCCATTATCACACCATGGATGACCCAGAGTCTGCCACGAATCATTTCGGCATGGTTTCGGACACCCAACTCCTCCACCTGCGCCCTCAATGCAGACGACGGTAGAACCTCCAACAACACACGCTTCAAATCCAAGTCCACCGTCATGTTGCTTGACCGAGTGCTAATCGACCACAATACCACAACTGAAACTAAGAACACATGATTATGACAAAGCATAATGTCTCAATCATTTGCTGAATCTATTATTAAGAGCCCAGAATAATCGGATCACATACATAAAGAGTTAATTCGTAAAAGAAGATAAAACCTGTCTGACATCGATCATGTTCATCACTTCAGCAAGCATTCGTTCATCTCCTAAGCTTCTTCTAGGTTGTACTTAGTATCATCCAACCACTATGTATGAACATTCTAGTCGTCTCAACCCAATTCAACCGTTCGATCATCCCCAGAGCTTCTGTTAGTTTGGCAAGTCCCATAGTCCCACATCGAAAAAATCAGACTTGTTATCTCCTATTGGAACTATAAATAAGGGCTTGAGCTTTGAAGTCAGATGCACCGACAAGTGGCACCACAAGAAAACCTAAATGTTTGCTTTGAGTTTAAGTCCACACTCAGTTAAATAGTTTGGGCTTATAGTTGAGGTTTTTTTTGTTTAGTATTTTTTGGTGTTTTATGGCCTAGGAACATCTTCCTAAGGCATTCGTAATAGTCCCTCTTTTATAGTAGTGATTTGCTCCTCTTTCGTCCGTGGATGTAGGTTAAGGCTAATTGATCGAACCACGTAAATCTGGTGTTCTAGTCGCTTTTATTCTTCCTGCTTTATTGTCTTTGTTGGGTTGTCAAAATTATCCTTTGGTAACTATCCTGAGGCTAGCTCTAACAAACTTGTATCAAAGCCTGGTTTCGGGATCTTTTGGCAACGATGACAATAACAAAGATTGTTGTCGAGAAATTCGACAGAAATGTCAACATCGGCTTGTGGCAACTCAAAATGAAGGTCATTCTAGTTCAAGACGGAGTTGGTTTGGTACTACAGGGAGTTGAGAGCATTCCAGATGATATGTCAAAAGAAGAGCTTGCGGGTATGGATAAGAAGGGGCCCGATCAAGCATCATTCTAAATCTCTCTGACAAGGTTTTATGAGAGATAACTATGGAGACTACGGCTAAGAGCATGTGAGACAAGCTTAAAGCCTTCTACATGAAGAGGATAGTGGAGAATCGTCTCTACTTGAAGCAGAGTCTATATATGCTTCGGATGACTGAAGGTACATCTATACTCTCACATCTTGATAAGTTTGATTCTTTGGTTATGGATTTGGAGAATATAGATGCAAAAATTGATGATGAGGATAAGACTTTGTTACTCTTGTGTTCTCTTCTCCAATCTTTTAAGCATTTCCGTGATACTTTGATTTATGGAAAAGAAACAGTTTTATATCAAGAAATTAAATCTACACTGAAATCTAAGGAGCAAATAGACAAGAATATCACTGGGGAAAGTAGAGAGAATCGGGCTGAGGATCTAGTTGTCAGGGGTAGAATGGATAAAAGAGAATTTGACAGTAGTAGATCTAAATCTAGATCTAAATCCAGACATAGAAATTTGGAATGTAGATATCGTCATAAAATGGGGCACATTAAGACTGATTGTTTTAAATTAAAAAAAATAAATTAAAGCAAAAAGGAAAACTTGTTGAGAAAACTACTGAGTCCACTGAAGCTAGTGTAGTATCTGATGAGAATGTTGAAAATATTTTCTTTGCTATTGATGACAGCACTATGTCTAAAAATGAATGGATTTTAGATTCAGGTTGTTCTTATCACATGTGTCCCAATAGGGATTTGTTTTCCGCATATAAATCTTGTAATGGTGGAATTATTTTGATGGGCAATAATGCCGCATGTGATGTTGTTGGTAGAGGAACAATTTGAATTAAAATGCATGATGGTATTGTGAGGATGCTCACTAATGTTAGACATGTTCCTGATTTAAAAAAGAATCTCATCTCTTTAGGCACCATAGAGGCTCTTGGGTGTAAATACAGAGCTGAAGGTGGAGTTATGAAAGTTTCTAGAAGTGCCCTTATTGTTATGAAAGCTTGTAGGTCTGGTAGCTTATATATTTTGCAGGGAACTACTATCACAGACTCGGCTGCAGTGTCGTCATCATCATTGTCTAATTCTGACATCACCAAATTATGGCTTATGCGTTTGGGTCATATGAGCGAAAAATGTTTGAGCATATTGAGCAAAAGGGGTCTATTTTGTGGACAGAGTACTGGGCCACTGGATTTTTGTGAACATTACATTTTTGGAAAGCAGAAAAGAGTCAGCTTCAATTCTCCGGCAGTTCACAAAACAAAAGGTACTCTTGACTATATTCATTCAGACCTTTGGGGTCCAGCTCATGTTCAGTCTAAGGGTGGTGCCAGGTATATGTTGACTTTCATTGATGATTATTCCAGAAAAGTTTGGGTTTATTTTTTGAAGCATAAAAATGATGTTTTTCTAACTTTTAAATAATGAAAGGCTTTGATTAAGAAGCAAACAGGTAAACAGATTAAGCGGCTTCGAACAGATAATTGCATGAAATTTTATGAAAGTGACTTTGAAGAATTCTGCAAAAATGAAGGAATCGTTCGACATCGCATTGTTAGGATGACGCTTCAGCAAAATGGTGTGGTCGAACGTATGAACAGAATACTTTTGGAGAGAGCAAGGTGTATGATCTCAAATGCAGGGTTGACAAAGGACTTTTGGGCAGAGGCGATTAATATGGCCAGTTACGTTGTCAACCGCGCTCCTTCTGCAGCACTTAACTTTAAAACTCCGGAAGAAGTTTGGTCAGGTACTCCTGTTGATTATTCTGATTTAAAATTTTTTGGGTGTCCAACATACATGCATGTAAATGAAGGAAAATTAGAGCCTCGAGCTAAAAAATGTATTTTCCTTGGGTATGCTTCTGGGGTGAAAGGATACATATTATGGTGTTCTGATCCCAAATCCCCAAAATTTGTAATCAGTAGAGATGTTACTTTTGAAGAATTATCTATGTTATCTTCTAAAGAGGATTCTACTAGTTGTACAAATGATAGTGCACAGAAGCAGGTGAAGCTTGAGATTGGTAGGTCTAATTATTTTCAGTCGAACTCTTCTACTCAAAGAATGCTAGTAGATGGTCCCGAGTCTACTGACGCAGATGATCCAGAGGAAGAACAATATTCTATAGCCAAAGATAGACCACGGAGAGATATTCGACCACCACAAAGATATGCAAATTTGGTTGCATATGCTTTGTCTGTTGCAGAAGAGACAGGTGAAGTTGGTGAGCCTACTTCCTACTCAAATGCAATTTCTTGTGATAATTCCACTAAGTGGTTGATTGCGATGAATGAAGAAATTGAGTCTCTCCATCGGAATAGAACTTGGGATCTTGTAAAGCCGCATTCGGGTAAGAAAATTGTTGGATGCAAATGAGACACTATTGTTGAGGGAAAGGTCCTTGTTTAGAAAATTCATACGAAGGACAATCCAGCTGATATGCTTACGAAGCCTCTTTCGGCTTACAAGTTCAAGCAGTGCTTGGACTTGGTTGGTGTTCATTGTTGGTGATTGCCTATTGGGGCTTTTATGAAGAAAGTGGAGCAAGTTTTGTTGGGACATGCCAAGGTGGAGATTTGTTAGTTTGGCAAGTCCCATAGTCCCACATCGGGAAAATCAGACTTGTTATCTCCTATTGGAATTATAAATAAGGGCTTAAGCTTTGAAGTCAGATGCACCGACAAGTGGCACCACAAGAAGGTTTTTCTTGTTTAGTATTTTCTGGTGTTTTATGGCCTAAGAACATCTTCCTAAGGCATTTGTAATAGTCTCTCTTTTATAGTAGTGATTTGCTCCTCTTTCATCTGTGGATGTAGGTTAAAGCTAATTGACCGAACCATGTAAATCTGGTGTTCTTGTCACTTTTATTCTTTCCGTTTTATTGTCTTTGTTGGGTTGCCGAAGTATCAAGTCAAAAACCGGTGCGAGTAAAGGGGGTCAAAAAGCTTAAAATTGATAGGTCTTCTTGCCCACTGCATCATCATCAGAATATTTTGAGTAATGCTAAAATGGATGATGAAACAATCGAGTGCCAAAATGTTTGATTAGAACAATCTCATGGTGATGAACATTAAACATTCAACAAGCAAGGACTTACTACTGATGAATATGTTTGTTTAGTAATCGTTTGATGCCGACAAAGATTGCTTTTATACAGTGGTGGGTGCAATTTCTTGGAAGACAAAGATTGCCTTTATATAAAGATGTTTGCGGTGCTCCAAGGGCTTACTATTGACGAAAGGGTACAATCAATTATTGTCGAGTCCAATTCAGTGAATATGGTCAAGATTATCATCAATTAAAGTTAGATCTATCCTGGAATTCTTTCATAGGTGTAAAATTGTTCATATCTCTTAGTGAAGACAACAAATGTGTTTGATTGGTTGGTCAACCAAAGAATCTATTTTATTTTAGAAACCACATGTAGGTTATATTAGATTATGTAGTCCTATCTAATTAGATAAGATATATTACATTAATTTTTTTAGATATTATTTTAAATACTTATGATAAAAAGCATTGAATATGTTCACTCTCTTTTAAGTTAATATTTATTATATTTTTGAAAAAAAATAAAATAATATGAGGATCATACAAGTGAGGCTAATTCCGATCAATCCAACAGTATATCTCAAGAAAAGACTCGTATGTATGTATGTATATATGTATGTATGTATTATTCTAGGAACATAATAATAATACACTGAATTTAGACTGCTGAGACAGCAGCAAATAATCATCCATCAGGCAAGACCTATTACGGTATAGAAACGATAACCGGAAGGTGTCCTAATGCCTACACTAAATGCCATTACGAACTTGTAATTCATGCAGCCTGCACCAGTACATCTCGAGAGAATAATTGCAACAAGTATATATGGGCTTAAACGTGCAATGGAGTTCGAAGGCGAGGGAGTTACCGTCAACAAGAAGCTCGATGAGCGATCATCCACCCTCTCTCTCACTTGTTCTTCGTTGGCATTTTTATCTTCGCGAGCTTGCCACTTATATATATACGTGTAATGAAGCTTTTCTTAATCCTCAGCATCCGGCAAACTTTGCATCGAAGGTACTTGACCGTCAAGCTGCTCCAATAAGAGCCCTCTTAATCAGATACAATTGTGCTTTACCTGTGCTTCAAAGCTTTCCCTTCTTCTTGCATGTCAAGTAACCGGCTGGAAGCAGCACATCGAGGCAGGTGCCCGATGAGCAAGTTAAGCATCTCATCTTTCAGCACGACTCGGCTTTCCATGCGAGCGAATCCCCAAGTCCTTTTGCACGTCGCCAAATGTGGCTCCCAATACTATACCTTCTCTAATTGCGAGGCAAAGGCGCCATTGCTTCGTTAGACACCTTGCCCTACGGATGCTTTCTGTCTCTAGCTTGCTTACGAGCAAAGCCAGTTCGCAATTGCTGTGGAACAGTGTTAGATACTGCCATTTAAATTTAAATGAAATTAGATTAGGAGTTTGAGAGAAATCAAGAGTTTGTATCTAATTAGGAGTAAGAAATTATTGATCTAGGATTGGTTTAAGATTATAAATAAAATGAATTTATGTAGAACTTCAAGAACAAGGGGAAGATAATACTAGAAAGAACTAGGACTTTGGATTTATCCAAAAATATCTATTTATATTAGCCAAAAGATAAAGTATAATATTTTTTTAAAAAAATAAAAAAAAATCCATCATATCCCAATAAATCTTTTCAACCTCATATATTTATTTTAATCTAAAATTTTATCTTTTATTTTATCTAATCCTAACTATTTGAATTAATCGTAACTCGAAGTTGTCTTCAGTATAATTCGATAATATAATTCATTCTCAAATTCCTTAATTCATTATCAAGAACTATGATCACTGAAATATCGGATGAAGGTATTTTTTGAAGTATCAAGATATTTGAGATATTATTGACAAAGATTTTACAAAACCTAATAAACAAGAAGAAGATCCATAGAACCCAACATTTTTGAAAATATCTCAATAGCTCAAACTTTATATGATATTTGGTCCATCCTTCACAAGATTTATCAAACTAAATTTATTTTAGATTAATTTTCTCATATTTTGGCCATCACATACTAGAATAAAAACTAATTGTGAAGAGATTATTAATGTTATAATTATGAAAAAGATTCTTGAGTCACTAACATTTAAATTTGAGCATATAGTTTATCGATCAAGGAGTTCAAAGATCTTGCGGAGATGAACATCGATGAACCGATATCGGTTCATTGATGGTCGACGAATAAAGAATCAATAAATATACATAACATGAACAAAATCGACAATCAAAAATACCAAATGATGACTACTTTAATAAAAGAAGAGACGGTGATCAAGATAAAGGTAGAGAAAAGTGTGATAAACAAGACAGAGACAATGGCACCAATGAAAATCATAAAGATGACCAAAATCAAACTAACAACAGAACTATGTGATAATCACAATATAGATAAGACCCAAATTCAATAGTATAATTACAATAATTATGATTATTACAATTATGAATGTCTTTAGATCCTCCAAAGAACATGTAAATTATATTGATAAAGAAAAAAAAGACATGTAAAAATCTTTGATAGATATGTGATCAAATAGAAAATTTCTTTGATAGTATATGATATTTAAACACTGGAGTTAGCAATCACAAAACTAGAAATAGAAGTCTTTTTTGATGAATTATTTATTTGAAAGGTGAAGTTTGGTGATGACTATATAATTGATACTAAATGTGTGGATAAAATACTTATTAGAATCGATAAAGGACGATAAAAGTCAATTTATTGCTACTATTTAGATGACCAAAAATATGATATTTTCTTTGAATATTTATGATTATTCCTGTTTTAGTTCAATTATGAAAGATGAATCTTGATTATAACATTTATGGTTTGTTATCTATATTTTAATGATTTGAAAATACTGTATGAGAAAAAGATGATGTGAATGATGTATTTATTATAGGACAACAACGACATCAGTCCTTTCCTAAAAATAATAATAGAAGAAAGAAAAGTCATTGGAAATTATTCATTTAGATATTTATGGGTCAATTGATCCAATCTTATTTAGTAATAAAAAAAAATTCTCACTTTTATTGATGATCTTAGTAGAAAAACTTAGATACATTTTCTTTAAAAGAATATGAATTTTTTTAATATATTTTTTAAAATTTAAATCCTTGGTTGGAAAAGAAATTTAACTTACATAACCCTTTTTACAATGTTGAGGTGCTCGACAACACCTCTTTTGGGTTATGGTTAATAGGGAGGGGTGTATTATTTGTAGCTCTAAATCAACCCTATATCCATAGTTTTCTACCCCTAATTAAACACAAACTCCTAATATAATTCCATTAAAACTTAAATTATAATCTCTAAATTTTTTTCCTAATTTAATATTTTTTGTAGACTTTTAAGTAATTTTCGTAGGTGCTCAAATGCTTATGTTTGAGATAAAATAAATAAATAAATTATAATTTAAATGTAAATAATATTAGATTAAGAGTTTGAGATAAATTAAAAGTTTATGTTTGATCAAGAATAAAAATTATTAATCTAAGATTGACTTAGGGTTATAAATAAGATCCCAAAGAGGTGTTGCCGAACACCTCCTCAACATTGTAATAAGGGTTGTAATTTATTTTCTCTCTTTTATTTTTTCCGGTTTCTTTGGGATCTCTCTCTCTCTCTCTATCTCCCAAAATCAGATTCTTCCTACTTAGAAATGAATTTTCTTTTTATCTAATAGTAGGGACCAAAGTCGTGTGTGCTCGATTCATGGAACGCTTGCAAAGATATATATCACATACTTATCAATGGAGGTTGCTCTCGTGGATTGGACACCCGAGTCCATAGACACTATAGCAAAAGATCCTCGACATGGGATATTTCCAAGCACACACACCATCCTTCCAAAAATTTCTGATCGCCGTCTCTTCCCTACGAATGATGGAACACTTATCCGCTTAGCAAACTCGACAGGTGGCAGCTTCCCATTGTCGTGCCGACGTCCGACATCCCTTTCACGACGGTTTCGCTGGGACACTCATCTTGTACGTTTCAGTCGATGCCTTATCGGTAGAGATGATTGGTCCGCGCGGCGGCGTATACGCAGACGGATGGACCGGGCGGCTCCTCCACGCTACGCTCGCCGACGTGGCTTTACCCTCGAGCTGCAGCCGCGATGCTCCCACCTCCAACATATTTCATTTATTTATTGTCTCATGGGAGAGGGGTCAGTGCTGTGGCTTTTCTACATGCAATGCTTCAATTTATTTGGCTTCAATATTTCTATATACATGCTTAAAGGGACAGTACCGTCTTCTGTCTGTGCTTGTTGTGTAAGAGATTTGTCTACATAAAGCCCTCCCAATTAATTAATCGAATTGAATCTGGTGGTACTTCTCATTTCAGCTGCAGTGAAAAAGGTTAATAGGCACCTTTCGACTTTGTTTGTGTTAGAGCTGAATCGGAATGTTGCATCTCTCTCTCTCTCTCTCTCTCTCTCTCACACACACACACACACACACACACACACACACACACACACACACACACTAAATTCTTCAGTTCCAGTCCATGCAATTCAACGTATACTTATCAGGTGAAACATGCATGGAGGAATACCTTTGGTATATTGGACACTCGTGTATCTTTTTTCTCACCCTTTTTAAATCTTATTTTGAACAAATCCAAAATACATGGGATGTCTAGTGAAATAATCAACCACTGATGTATAGGATTTCTTTGTTTACATAATGTCATTTTTATATTAAGCTTTATTGTTATCTAAGAATATCGACTCTAGTAATTAAAAAAAGATTTATCGACCCGACATTACTTTTCTACGGATTTGATGATTGATTCGGACAAGATCAGACGTCGCAAAACGTGCCAAGTAGGCAATTATGCGCGCAATCCTGGAGGTGCTCTATAATAGGATGATAGTACAGCGTATGCAACCGAATCTTACTGTGGCATGACTTGACAGATAGAGTCGACAAGAATGGCAGATAGATTTCCGCGGAGCTACAGGATTTTTTCTGTGCATGTAGCTTGTCAAACGTGGTTTTAAGTCCAGCCATTCTTTCCCTTCGCTAACCACTGGAAAGATCTCGCGCTCGAGTAAACTTTCTATATATTTTGCCGACATCGAGAGAGAGGATTGTGCAGGTGGTTAATCCAGTGTTGGTGACTTGTGAAGGAGAGTGTTAGACGAACTGTTCATTCGTTTTATGATTTTGATTGTTATATGTAGATTTATCTTCATTCACACGGACCTAATCACTCGAGCTCTATCCATCCCGCTCCACCTTCCCCAGCTTCTTTGGTCCTCGTTTCTCGTCTGATCCTCCTTCCAACACTTTGCCAATCACTGCGGCAAATGTGTTCCTTTGATATCCCATTGACGTACGTGTTCTTTTCAGCAACCAGTCACACAGACTATAAATCGGGGATATGGGTGGCACACTTATATATGTAGATTCAGCTCTCTTGCTTCTCTCCGGGGTCATGATCAGTTCCTCCTTCCACTCTTCTCCGAGTAAGTTTTGATCTTGTTCACTCTGCCAAGCTACTTCTGCACACAAAAGGAAAAGGAAAGTTCTGCATGTCTACGTATGACTCTTCTGTACATGTTCACGTGAATCTTTCTATGATTTCTGTACACTATCTCCTCAAGTTTTACCCTAGTATTTCAGGTATCATATACTCGATTGTCGATATCCCGTGGTGCCTGAAATTTAGGCATTCATATAGTGGGTAAGAAGCGATTTTAGTTGGGTTGTACTCGCCACAATTGACATGGAGCTGCAAATGGGACAAGTTCTCGTCAATTTCATCCCATGACTTGCTCAAAACATGGAGTTGCAGTGTGAGTAGACTTTTTCTTCGCTGAATCCAAGTTAGAATGTAGAATCTTACATGGACCGGAATATGTTATATTTGAAACCAAGACAACCCAGCGACTCT